CTGGGCGGGGGGGGGGGGACAGAGCTCCGTCCCTACCCGCTCCCCCTCCCACCCCACCCATCATTCTTGATGGATAATTGGCTAGTCCTTAAGATAAGGACTGTCGCCATCTGAAGAGGTTTCTATAAACTAGTCACACACTGGCCAGGCACAGCTAGCTATGTTCACAAAGTAAACAACAACTTCTGTCTTGGAGAAGAAATTATATCAATTTCTCCAACTCTGCACATGTGATGTGTCTATAGCATACCATGCTCCATATCCAGGAGGAGAATATTATGAAACTTAACAGCAAGTTGGAGCACCAAAGTCAGAGTTAAGGCTGCACAGCCAGTCTGGTGTATACCCTATTTTCTTGATTTTCACAGTTTTAAGTGTAGGTGTACTTGACATTCGTGGGGGATAGGAGACAATGAGAAAGTGAAAGGGCACAAGGTGGCTTCCTAGGAACAGGTCATTACTACTTGGCTACCAGTTCTCCTCTCCTGATCTATCCATGCTCTGAGTTAGGAAAGACAATGATGCTCCTATTAGCATAGTATCGTAATATCATAGTACTTAGGGTTGGAAGGGACTTAAACAGATCATCAGGTCCGACCCCTGCTCCGGGCAGGAACAGATGCCGGGATTATATATATTACATCTACCAACAGAAAGTGTAAGAAAGAGTGGGGGTCTATATATGGGGAAAAAGGGTTCTGCACAAAACTAACCAATTAATTTCTACGGGTGCTCTCCTCCTCACAGAGTCTACTACAGCACTTGCAGTGTACACTGATTTTCAAGACAAATTTCATTACTCATGTGGGGTTTAGTACAATTTGAATATTAAGATGGGGAGGGGGAAATGGCTATACCTGAAAAAAATTACCAAAACTCACCTTACACTTTTAACTGCACACCCAGTTTTAATGTGAAAACAGCAATATATGGAAGCACCACAATTGAACTTAACCTGTATTTCCATTTTTAACAGGGATACAATCAGGTCTATTAAACTCTTTAAGTTCAAATGTTTATTGTAGTTGTGTAATGTTTTAATTTTCTATAACATTTTAAGGGGGTGGGGAAGGAATATAATTTGATATTTGCTACAAATTTTAAGGGCTGAAATTCCCAGTGTCCAAAACTTCTAATACATTCAAATAAACTACTAGACTTTGGAGGGATGCCACTGAAAAGGGTAAAACTCTTGGCTTGGTCTTGTGGGGGTCATAACTGACCATAAAATTAGGGATGCACTAATAGATTTTGGGGGCCAATATGGACATCCAATTTTTAAGGAGGCATTTTGGCCAATACTGATCTGATTTCCAATACAGCTGCGTGCAGCTGGTAAGTCCACTGTGGTGGAAGGGGGGGGTGGTGGATGGGTCTTATTTGACCTGGAGGGATGTGGGCAGTGGCGTTCCGCAGGGCTCGGTCCT